TTTTCTTTTTTTTTTTTTTTTTTTTTTTTTCTTTTTCTTTTTCCCTTTACGGCCATTGGACGGCTCCTACATCTAATCTTACGTTTCTCACGTTTATCTGCAATTTTTGCTAAGCGGTAAAAGTTTTTTATTTCGAGCCTAAACTTTAACTTATTTAAGTTATCCTATTTTTATCATGATCGTCTGCAAATCTGTGGTTGCAGAGTTTTCAACTTCTCTTTTAAGAATGTACGTCTGTAAATTGCTAAAATGACGCGTTATATGCTAGATAGTCTTTGAATACACGACACATCTCCTAATAATAAATCATACGGGAACGTAATTTTCGATATATTCATGTATAATTTCCCTTTTTGCATTCCTTCTTGCGTACTTTCCTCTTCGCTTTCCTCTTTCCTTATTTAAATTTCTCTCTAACATTATCACAATGTATAAAAGATAAAATTTCGAAAGCTTTTTCACGCAAAGTATTCATCACGAATCGAATAAATGTGATAAAATATATCTCGACAAACACATCGAGATGCATCGTATATCTTCGCAAGCGAAGAAACTGTAAGTTTGCCTCGAAAGTAAGAACTTGCAGTTCCTTATTTTTTTTTTTTTTTTTTTTTACGTTTACTTACACCGTCATATTCGTTTCTCTCGCGAAACGTTACTCGCTGAAAACGCTTCCGCTCTTCCAATCCGATATTGACATCCGCGTATTGTATTGTTAAATGATTCAAAGACTCGAAAAACAGCAGAGAAAGAAAGATCACGTCTGAAAGAAAAGATGAAACAAACAATTATCTCCCTCTCCCTTCTTCGTAATTCAATTCAAAATTCTCCCTTAAATAACACACGCGTAGATCGAATTATACAAACGTCAGTATTTTCGAGTAATTGACACGATGTACCCTTCTAAAGTATATATATATATATATATATTATATGCTCTGTGAAAAGAAGAGAATGTCAGGAATGTGAAAGGAAGAACGAGAGATGCGAGGTCCGGCATGGTTTAAACGGATTGCCAACTGTCCACGCCTCGACACGGAGTAAAAAAATGCTGTTGCTCGGCCTATGAACCATTTGAACGCGCGTTAATCGAGGGGGCGAGAGGATGACCATTCCTAGGTGAGATCCTCGTCGTCGTCGCTGGGGCCACCGGTCGGGCAACACAGCCCCTCCGAGCCGTCGCTCCTTATGCAGAACAGCAACGTTTCCGCCGACGTCACCTCGTGGGGCACTATCCCGTGAAATTCTTTCAGATCGGCAGCGGGGAACCACGCTTTCTCGTTGTCCTCGATTATCAGTATTCCGAAAAGTCTGTTGACAATTGCGAAAACGAGAGAGAGAAAAAAAGATTAGAGTCGTTGCAGGAGATGGAAATCGAGAGAATAGAGAAAATAGAATACCACGGATCTTGCGAAATTTGAGTGTAAAATTGAGGATTTTGGTAGTAAAGGAGAAGTTGAGAAAAATTATACGTTCATATTGTCTGAATCTAAAATTGGAACAATGAAAAAGTTGAAATATGGAATATTAAAATAGAAAAATTATACATGCATATTGTGAAATTTAAGTTTAAAATTGAGAATTTAGTGATAAAGAAGAAGTTTGAAAAATTATACATTCATCTTGTTTGAATCTATAATTGGGAAACAGACGAAGATTGAAAAATGCGAATTATTAAGATTAAGAGAATCTAAGTATATGAATCTTGTGAAACTTGGTCTAAAATTGATCTCGGTGAAAAAGATTAAAAAAATTAAACATGCATCTTATAAAATTTGAGTCTTATAAAATTGAAAATGGTAAAAAAGAAGTAAAAAAAGATATATATATATATACATGCATCTCGTGAAGTTTGAATCTAAAACTGAGCAAAAGATGGCGAATTATTATAATAGAAAATGCAAAGTTGAATCGATGATAGAAAAAATTAAATACGATTCTACGAAGAATAAAAAAATGATATTAATCTTGTAAAATACGAAAATCTTAACTCGACCTATGACTGATACAAGAATAAAGATAAAAAGGAAAATTCGAGATGATAGAAAAATAGAAAAATTTCTTTTCAAAATTTATAAAATTGATAACAAAGAGAAGAAGAAGAAGAAGAAGTTACCTGCAAATTGCAACGGCGGGAATCCAAAGAACGGAGGCGAGGATAAGGACACCGATGAGGCCCAACGCCCAAACAGGCCACTCGTGTTTCTCCGTAATACCCTTGCTGGCAACCCAAGCTGGATAACCACTCCCATCCACGATGATTTCCACGATCGATGCGATTAAGATGCTCAGCATAGCCATCGGGCTCAAGTACTTCCAACAGATCAGCCAATAAAGGCCTGGACGGTTGCCAGTCATCAGTTCGATATCATCCGCGAATCTACGGAACAAAAGAATTCGTTCAACCACCCTATCGAAACGAATATCGTGTCGAAATTTACGTATCGATCCAATTAATCACGTTTCCATACCTTTTCAAACCGTACACGTACGACACCGCGATACATTCGAAGAACGCGATGATCAACAGGGGAAAGTTGCCACTGAAATTGTCGAATAACACGAAAACGTAGCTGCCAGCCCCGTGGGCGAACGCCATCGAGATCGCGCAGCAAAGCAAGCAAATGCCACCTAGTTCCATGATAAAACGAAACGACCTGTTGTTTATTCTTATTATTATTATTTTGCTCATTTTGAGAACACGAATGCACTATAAACCTGTGAGAATTTCTTTGCGCAAGTTTGGGAACAGCTTCATGTCAACGATACTCGTAACCACCCCTTCCAGTGTGCCGAATTGAGAATCGATCCCCAGGGTGAACAACATGAGGAAGAATAACACGGACCAGAATTGAGCCCCGGGAAATTGATTGATCGCTTCCGTGAATATGATAAACGCCAGGCCAGTCCCCGATGCTGACTGAAATCGATAAGGAGGACGAGGAAAATTAAAGTAGAATTCGATGGAAATTACATATAAATATATAACGAAATAATGACTTACGTTGTCCAATTCTTTCTCGAGATCGCATTCGGGCAATTCCGGCATGATCAAACTGTCCAACGTCCCGTTTCCCGTGGTGACGTTCAAAAGTGTACCAGTCGCTGGTATTTCATCGGGTATTTTATCCAATTGGCCGAATATGTTGAACAGGGTTGCATTCCTTTCGGTCAAACAGTGCTCGTACACCATGGTAGCTTTGAAACCTGTAATTTTCTACTTGTAATTGACGCGTCTCTCTCGAAATTACACGCTTATATATATATAATTATTCGATTGTTTCAACCAATAATTACCAATAATAGAAAACACAACAATCCCGGCAAACATGGAAGTGAAACAGTTCGTTAAACTGACCATTATCGCGTCTCGATAGCAATTGTTGTTCACAGGGTTGTAAGAGGAGAACGCGATTAAACCGCCGAACGCCAAACCAAGGGAAAAGAATATCTGCGTGCCAGCCTCCAGCCACACCACTGGGTCGGTTAATTTCCACCACTTGAACAAATCGAAGAATGTAATCTTACTTTTATTTCGCGTGAAAAGGAAAAAGGAGAATCGACTTTGCACCCAATTGATCAATTTGGAAAATTGGATTCACCTTTGGGGTGAAAAGGTGACGCAGGCCGTCGGACATCCCTGTCAGAGTGACGCCACGAAAGAAGAAAATGATCAAAACGATGTATGGAAATGTGGCGGTCACGTACACGACCTATAAAAAACATTTCAAATTTATAAAGTTGCTCTTTGGAACAAAAAGGAAAAAAAAAAAAAAGGAAAAAACTTTCGATCTCACTCACGCGATATTTGCGAACGATAAGTTGAACACTTTAAAAGAATACCTTCCCTGATGAAGCGATTCCCTTGATCATGCACATGTAGACCAGGATCCAGGCGATCACCAGAGCCAAAGCGATCTTCCAATTGAATATTTCTGGGCTGTTTATGTCCTCGGATATCATCAAAGTTGTCCGATACCAGAAGTATTGCGTGGGACTGCTTATCTGGAGAGACGAGCACCGGTTAATACAGCGATCGTCCAAATTCAACTTGAACAAGTTAATTAATTCGAATTTTTCGATCCTACCACACACTCCGATTCGGGTGCGTACGATCCATTTTGGAAATACACGTTCGGGCACTCGGCCCACGGTAGCTTCGATTGAAAACTCTGCAACATAATTTTATTTCTTTCGCCTGTTTCTATCTTTTTATTTTGTCGAAAGAAATTTATCTTTATGGAATTAAAGGGATTCCTTTCGAAACGAACGAAAAAAAAAAAAGTAACAAATAGAATAATACTCACTTGAACGAAGTAAAATAGGCACCAAGCGATAATAGTGTTGTAATAGAGAGCTACGTTGAAAGATACTACGGCGCTGCTCACGCCTATACCACCCATGTACGGAGAAACCTGTTAGAAAAACACGATGTGATCGGTCGGATTATAAACGGATCTATTTTGACGGAATGTCGCGTTGTATACGTTGTGCAACAATCACCTGATTCCATACACCGATAGCGCCCTTCCGTAATCTCTGGCCAATTGCCAATTCCAGATAGAATATGGGGATACCCTCGATGGCCAGCATTACGAAGTATGGGATCAAAAATGCTCCTGTTACAACAGAGAGGGAGGGAAAGAAGAAAAGAAGAAAATTCACAGAAGTTGGAAAAGTAGAAGAAGGGACCCACCTCCGCCGTTCTTTTGAGCGAGATACGGGAATCTCCACACGTTTCCAAGGCCAACGGCGTATCCGACAGTTGCTAATAGAAAAGTAAGCTTACTATCCCAATTTTCTCTTTCATCTTCGCCCGCTTCCGGCCGAAAAATCGCTTTTCCCTCGTTGCTCCCGAGCTTGCTACCCCCACCCTCGTTCCCCGCTTTGTTCTGCAACGAAAAATGAAACATTCAACGCCAAATTACCCAGTTTCATTGTAATATCGTGCAATTTAATTACACGCAAGTGAATTATATATCAAAAAGATAGCAGTTAGATGTTTATTACCTTCATGTTAGGACTGGAGTCCTCAAAGGCTGCGTTCGTGGCCCCATAATTGGCAGTGGTGTTAGTCTTTCTATTGTCCACCACTAATCTACCTCTCATCTCCTTCATTTCAAGTTTGTCGACACTTTTCTGGGGCTTTAAATCGCGCGAGCTTTGCCGGCGGACGAGATGTGCCGTGTTCGCCATCCTTTCTTTCTTCCTTTCTTCCTCTCTTTCTTTCTGTCTGTTGTGCGACCACGGTTTCCTTCTCTCTCTCTCTCTCTCTCTCTTCTTCTTTCTTTCTTTCTTTTTCTTTTCGAAGATCAAACAGAAATACCACGCGCGCCTATGGACTCCATCCTGTTGGAAGTAAAGAAATCTTGATTACGTAATCGTTAATTATTCGAACGTGTTAAATAATAATATTTATTAAAAAAAAAAAAAAAAAAACAAGAGTTGAATGATGAAGAGCTGAGAATAATGAGAAAATCTTTCTCTTTTAACGAAAGAGAAGAGTTTGGAAGGAAATATAAAATACGAAATTTTAAGGATTTACATAGAATTAAATATGGATCGTATCATATTTAATAAAATCATTTAAGCGATTTAAAATTAAACTTTGAATTTTATTCAATTAATTTTAAATTTGATTGATAATTAATTGGCAAAGCTATTTAAAGCTCTGGCCGTAATAAAGCATAACGATGCAATTTTGAAATTTTATTTAATTAATAATAAATTGAATCGATGATTGATATTTATAATTCCGTATAATGAAGAAGCGATGTATTTTATTTGTATAAGCTCGATAATAAAATTTTATTCGCTGAAAAGTTTCTATTCCGATGCATGATTGTTACGAAGATCGATCGCGAAGAATCGTTCAAAAAAGAAGAAAAGTAAGTAAATATTTTTAAAACGTCGTATCATTTGATTCGCAATTTCATTGAGCACGAGCTTCTCGAAGCCAATTTTGAAGTCACGTTTGCAAGGATACGCTCCATAAATTTCGTACACGTTACATTCGAAATTTCTATTTATCTTGTTCACAATTTTCTCGAATAAAACAATTGTTCTTTCGAAAATTTTTTCACCTTCGATACTCAACAATTACATTTATTACGATAATTCCTTCGATCCATTTTTTCCATCTTTTACACCACGACTACCTTTATATCTCTAAAATTTTTTTAATCAATAAAAAATATAAAGTTTTTCTTCGATGAACGTTTGTCGTTACATAACACCGAATATCGAAATTGGAATGAAAGGAATCGAGGTAAACAACGACGTATAATAAAAAACGACTTGTACACGCGCGTATTCCCTCGTTCTCCCTTAATTAAACAATCTTTTCAAGAGAAAACCACTCGACAGAAATGTCTTTGCGATTCTTTCCCAAAGAGCCTAGTAGTACACATCGTTTTTTTCATCGATAGCCGATGAACACGAGAGAAAGATGTTTGCCTTTCCGCTTTACCATGGCCCTGACCTCGTATACGAGGGATCTTGACAATCAATTACCAGTCACTAAATATTCAATTGGTCACAGAGAATTGGCCTCTTCGTTTAAGAAGATGTTTACCCAATCATCGATTTTATCCACGATCGAGTATCGTCATCAGATTTTGTCCGAATTTTATGAATAAATATAGTAGCGAGGAAGGGAGGACACGTTGTGGAGAAGCATCCTTGCACCAGTATTTTTATTCCTTCCTATTCTCATCGTTCGATGAATATCGAAATGAAAACTTTCTCTCTAATAAGATATTCCGATAACATATAAGGGCGGCAATTTTACACGAGTGACATGACACTATATAACTATCGTTCCCATTGACGTCACGGGCGAACCAGTGACATTTTTCGTCCCACGTTCGTAAATGAAAACGAATGATTCAAAACGAATAATCTTCCGAAATAAATAATCCGCATTTTATCCCAATACAAACATTTTTATCTCGATCGAGAAAATGCCACTCGTAGATCCAGTAGATTCGAAAAGAAACGCACGATATTCCGATTTCCTTTCACTCTTTCTCTTCGAGCCCGTTGATTTTTTCATTTTTACGCGGCAATACTTGGACGTAATACTCGCACGATGCGTGAATCCATTTGTCGGGAAATTATTGTTGGGAAGGGGGGGAGGGAGAAAAATTGTGCCGTCCGTGTGGTGATAACGTTTCAAATTCGCCACTAACCTGTTGGGGTGAAAGAAAGAAAAGCGCGAGGGCCTCCTTATGGCTCGAGGAGCAGTTAGCTACTGTGGCACCCTCTACTACGATGGTAACTTTTGAAATCACGATATCCAACGGAATCAATAGCGAGCGCCGGCGCCCCAATGCCTCCGTGTCCTACAGACCGGAATATGCGTGGACCCTTTTTTGCCCGAGAGATTGGTCGATGATGATCGGTGAACCGATCGCAACGAGGCGAAATAAACGTTGTCGTGGCCAATCCGAGCCGCCATTCGAATAGGTGAAACGCGGGACCCTGATTAATATTGAATAATTCAAAGTCGATATGTTATGAAAAAGAATTATGGAAACATCGTTTTCGAAATTTGGAAATAATTAAATTCAACGATGATTCATGATAGATTTCGTATATATGCGTGTGTGTGTGTGTATTAGGTTTATCCGATAGAATTGTATTCGCATGTGTGTAATTCTGGAATTCCGGATTGAAGATTAAACAGAAGCGTTTGACCTTTACGAAAAAGGAATCGATAACGAGTAACACGTATTTTTATATTCTATGTACGATGGAAAGTGTCGAAATGCGTGACACGCGTTAAGAAAAAAGAAAAAAATTACTATCGACATTCTTCATTTAAAAGTGTCGAAAGGAATTACGCTTTGGTAAGTGGTTGTTCCCTTCGATTACTTGATGTTCGCGTTATGGATAAATAATGGGAGAGAAGGGTGAACAGTAATGCAATCACAGTTAATATCGTTTCGAGTTAACGCTCGTTTCAATTAAAATTAATACAATTTTCGTTTCGATGGATAGATGGAAAGAGTTTTCGTTTAATATTTGTTTTGTCAATATTGAGAAAAATTTAAACGAGCATTCTATTTCACTTTTCTTTTATTATATCTTTCTACAGAATGGATTTAAATACATGTGAATTGCATTCGTATGAACACGATGAATGGAACGAATAGTTATTCGTGTTTTTTAGATTAGAATTTAAATTTTTCATTTCAATAATGGCTGTTTTAGAAATTATTGATTACAACACAAGGAATGTCGTAATATCTTTTCGTTACCGTCACTCGCAGAAATTACAAACAAAAAAGACTTGTTCGTTGTTTCAGTAGATAAACTCGGCCATTAATCGGCCAAGTTGAATATGCTGCCTATGCGTGTGCCAGTGTATACGATGATTTAAACTACTTGTATTGATATCCATTTTCTCGTTGTATAATAAAAAAAATAGCTATTAATATTGTTGAATTTTTTTTTAAATTATAAAAATGCATAAAATAAAATAATATTTAAAAATGAATTCGATAGATTTATGGTTTTAGGTATTGAAATTTTATAAAGAGGAAAATAAAGAAGATAATACGAAGGGAAATATTTATTTCATTTATGTACAAAATATTGCAATGTGGAAATATTTACCTATAAAAATTTATGAATTGAAATGTAGAAAAAAAAAAAAAAAACTCTTAATGAACGGATTCTTTTATTAGAAATTGTGTGAAATAGAGTATTCCTGGAATAAATAATGCAAATTAACGACGAAATTGCTAATTAATTAAAATGCAAATTAGAAATGGATACTTACGTTCGATCCGCGGTTTTTTAAACCGATCCTCGACAAAAGACTTTGTTAAATTTTCTATCGTTTCCTCGTCTTTATAATTGAATTGTTTTATGTTCTTATTGATCAACAAATATCTAAGAATTTTACGAGTTAAAAAAGATTTCTCAATAGATAAAATCTATAAAGTGTTTCCAATTAAAGGATACAATTCGTGGTAGTAATTAAAAGCTTCGATAGCCCATTGTAAAAGTAAATTTAATCTTGGTCTATAAGGTGTACCATTGATTAATTCTTTCATCGTTTCTTCATCTAATGAAATTTTGCTTCTTGTTTCTTCCAAATTATTTAAACGATTTTTTAGATCCTAAATTAATATTTTCCTTGATAATTTTATCGAATAATTAATTTTTAATTTTATCATAATTTTGTTAATATATATATATATATATATATATATGTGTTTGAATTTTTTTTACATACAAAATATCATTATTCATAAGTTTTAAGTATAATTAATAAAAAAGGAGAAATATTAATTTAATATATTATTAACAAACAGGATATGAATGAAAAATTAAAATTATAATTCTATTTACTTGATTAATGTTATTAAATCGTGTCAAAATATCTAAGAGCAGTTCAAGTTCGCTGTCGATTCCCATAAGAATTTTAAAAATCAATCTTTCACGTAGTTCATCTATTTTACAGAGTTCTGCATCATCGACTTCATTGCTGTAACAGAATGACATCTAACGATAGATCAATGAAACTTAACGACAATGTAGCTCTGAAACATACATTAAGTTTCTGCTCTAGCAACTATACAATACATTTGAACCAGTGATAAAAAATTCTAGTAACAAGTAGAAAAATAAGGAAGTTAACGTTACCTTATGACGAGTCGAAGTTGTTCTGATTGATTCTTTAATCCGTGTAGAGGCCGTTTGGCTTCTTCAAACAATTGATTCCATTTACAACTTACTTTCTCTAACTGTGAGAAATAATTTATCAAACATTTGTGTAGTTCCTTTGCCATGTCGTCTATAGGTTAGTGTACAACTTAGAATAAGTCGTATAGAACATTTTCTGCTACACGAAATAGAGAGCGCTGATCAAAGCAAATATTATCAACTCGAGGAAAAGATTTTTTTATTAATATATTATTATATTTATATAGAAATAAATATAATATTGTAATGCAAATAGATTATTAAAATTAGCTAAAATTAGCTTTTGTTTTTATGATATTATAATTATATACATTTTTATAAATTCTTATTTATACGAATAAAAATTTCTCTATTTTTAATTATTCGATATGCAAATTTTAACATTTCTTAAATGTTTTATTGTAAATAGGATGAACAGAAGATAAAATATTTTTATCTATAACTTGTAACGGATAATTTTTCACTAATGTAAATAATAAATCTATATATCTTGTTTTTTTAATTGAAATTTTATCGAATAACATATTATATTGTTGCATTGACAACACATATATAAATATATAATGCGAAAAAAAAACATCTGTTTCCCAATTTAAGTATGTTTAAAATTAGATAAAAATAATGCAATTATTGATTCGAGATACATATCATAACATTATTAGTGAATATCGAAAAAATTAGAAAAATATCTAAAATAAATTAAAAAATAATTTAATTATAATTCGTAAGTTTCGCATAATAATAGTCAGTTTATTGTTTGTCTTCATCTAAAATATAACAAATGTCTCAAAAATATCGAAACTCATTTAAATTAATTCGTAATAAATTTTAGTATATTTTAAATCTTAATTTCAAAAGTTTCAAATACATTATATATTTTAAGAAATTATTAAAATTATTAAAAATTATTAAATTAATAAAATATTTTAAAAAATTATCTTTATATTCAAATGTACATAAAACATACTTTAGCATTTTACGAAATTTTAAGACTAATTTATGATTCAACGATTTTCTTTATGCGACATAACTCGTGTATTGAACAGTTTGAAAGAAAAAAATTCAAATGTTTTTCAAATGTTCTAATAAAATGATAATAATTATAATGCCAATAACAAATGCCAGATTCAATAAGATATTACAATATTAAATAAAGAATGTAAAACGTTAACGGTCCTGTTTCAAAATTATATTCAAAATTATATAAAATATCTTGTTATGTTTCTAATTTCTATTTTTATAATCTAAATTGGATAAAATATAATAAATAATAATTTTATTAACTTATTTTTCTAATATTAGTAAAATTTTATTAATTTCTAAACATTTAAATAAAATGAAAAGGTTTTGATACTGATGTAGACGGCCCTGGTTTGGTTTTCTCGTGCTATTCCGCTTTCACAGGGGAGACTGACGGAGATACCCGAACGAACTTTCGACTAGGCGGCACGATGCGCACGCATCCAACAGTATCCCTTGCGCGTTCGGTGGGGCTCGGTAATGGTCGGAGAGTATTTGGCCGGTTCGTTCTGTCGAGCCGACAACAAGCACAGTAGATTGTCGACCGACAACCCTTTCGCGTGCGAACATGTCTCGCCGCGGTTGAGCAAGAGCTCCTTTTTTTTTCTTCATCGTTTTTTTTATCCTACGTCTGTCTCGACTTGAACGTTAATATAAACAGTGCCAAGAAAACTAGAGCGTACTAGATCGTATAGAACGTCTCGCACCTGCCGATACGTATCGACGTTTCGTGGTTAGCAGTGTGTGACACGTCGAGCCGTGTCTATTGTCTCACTCTCTTTCCACATATATATTTCCCCAACCCTCTCTGTCTCTTTCACTTTTTTCTCTGTTCGTGATCACTCGGAAAAACATGGATGAGGCCAATGGAAAAATGCGAAGCAAACACGAGGACGTTGATGCTACGTCCCTTAGTGCCGACATCCTGAACCCCTTCGTGCATCGTCTCGAGCTCGACACAACCTACGACAAGCTCAAGGTCAGTAGTTCTGCGAATCTTCCTGCACGCGGAAATATCCCTCGGGATCGATGTTCACGCGTAAGACTCGAATGTTTTAGAAATTGTTGAGGGCGGGGCGGGGAATTTATGACCGTTGCAACAACGGTTCGCTTTTCGGCCACTACACCATGCCATACGCCAGTCTTTAAAAAAACGAATTTGAATCTATGATCTACTCATAAAAATAGAATAGATTTTTGCCGGTGTAATAAAATTTACTTTAACGCTGCGTATCAGCGATCGTGTTCGATGCAATGCATTTTTTTATTTTTGAAATATTGCAATATGAACAGTTACGTAAAATTTGAATCGCCATCGTAATGTAATAAAAGTTTTCCGACTCGGAACGGAATTCGACGATTGAATTCATCTGCTTTCATATGGAACGCATCGCGGCATTCGTTTCCTATTTTTGCAACATTTTAACAGGATAACGAGATATTGTAAACATGAAATATCCGGTGAATATATAATTTAAATTATGCGTTGTTAATCAATCTTTTTAAACCTTTGATGAAAAACTCTCGTATTTGTTTAAATTCCATAAATTTGTTTTATTAAATATTATCTAAGTTAAATTCAATTTTTTTAATTGATTCGAAATAAATGAAATATTAATTTTTATTGATTTTCTATTTTGTAAAATATAGATGATTATGTTCGAAATATAATAGGTATAAAAAAGTAAATTCATGAACTTTTTTTTCTTATAATAGGAATACTTGTTAAAAAATTCTTTAAAACGTTTCCCATCTATATGTAAACAGTTTTGATACCTTGACATTATCGAATTATTGATATTTTGGGGGTGTTCCTGTCATTCCAAGTGACACAGCTTCGCTATAGACGTAATAAAATTTTTCAATCTGGAACATACTACGTTTCACCTAAACTAGCTTACAAGCTATTGAATTTCTTCCACTACAAATAAGTCCGGTAAAACAAAACTAGATTAAACTTTGTATTGTGAGAAATATGTTATACTTACAAAAATCGATACCAAACACGTAATAAAATACCTGAGAAAAATATTTATATTGTATCATATGGATGCATTCACTGCATGGTTCCTTAATGATTAATCGGTGATTTCATCAATATCGTTTGGCAGGTGACGCCAATCGATAGTTTGCACGATTAATCGATATACATTTGATGGTGACGTTAAAATATTTTTATCAATATCTGCTGACGAAAAATCGCGAGATCGTTACTAAATCTTGTCTGGTATAATTTTATTTTCGTAAAATATAACCTATATCATTGATATAATTATTAATTACTATATAAGTTATATAAACCATATAGAAAAGTAAATATATATATGTAATTAACAATAAGTGTCTTCAAGTTTTGTTAACGAAACGAATCATGAAACAAAACAAAATATGATGTAACCATTCTAAATCGATCTGTAATTTAAAAATATCAAAAGAGAATTTAATCCAAATCATCATTTTGGATAAATTTTTATTATTTTAACTCAAAAATGTTTTAGAGCTTTCATTTCATTGATAAAAATATTTAAAAACTCGGTTATTATTCCGTCAATATTTTTATTTATAAATTGAGAAAAGAACGATTCGAACTTTCCATTTGAAATTTTATCGTGTCTAACAACGAGAAGTCGTAAAAATTCGTCCGTCTGTGCGCTCTAATTGGCACGCACGTGCACTATTCTACAGTCGTTCGTGCGGGCGCATAACTTAAACGCGTCACGAGATGTATATTTTTTTTTTTTTTTTTTTTTAATAAAAGGGTCTCTGCATAAAGCGTTGCTGCATTTGATGCGCGCATCACTGCTTCTGCATAGTCGATCACACGTAATATCACGCGATCGTCAGAGATAAAACAAGTTAAAAGATCGCCGTCCTCTTTTTTTCCTCCTACTCTGTTTCAGTTTCACTTCTCTTCCACGCGTGATTATACGCTTTTCAACACCATGCGCTTTTCAAAAGTACAATGTGCAAAGTTAGATTCTTTTTTTTTTTTATTTTTCCTCCTTTTCTTCTTCTCTTTTTTCTCATCTCTCTGAACAAATGGACGAAAAAGAACGTGTAAAGAAGTGTAAAGTTGATCGAATTTTAAAAAAGTTGGTCCATTTTTTTTTTTATACGATGAAAACTTCGTAGGAAAGAAGATTGAAATTGGAAGATTGAATTTGTTTAGCAGTTTGTCTCTTAAATCTTATTTCGCTTCTAATTAACGAGATGGTTCCGGTCGGTATTTATTTATAAAAGAGTTATTCAAAATTGTTTCGAATAAATATTTATCGAAGATAATTATATATAAATAATAAATTCTCACTGTTTCTTTTTGAATAAATATTTATCATTCGAATAATGATAACGAACGAATTTGTTACCATTAATATAATTTTTTACGAGTATTTTTATGAGGATATCTACGCATAATATGACATCTATGCGTTTGCTTTTCGAAATATGTATATCATAACATTAATACAGATACATTAGAAATCACTTATCGCCTATCGTAATTATTTGCAAATTGTGAAAACGTGATGCAAGTTTCAATAACAAAAGTAATTTGTAAATCAAAAAAATAACGTAAACATTTGATTAATTCGATTAAAAAAAAAAAAATTATATTATTGCATGTAAATACTTTTTTTATTTTTCATATATAAATAATTGTACTGAAAATTGCGAAAAAAAAACAAATGATTTGAAATCTGAATGAATAACAATTCCGAATTCGAAACGAAAAATTAAATATTTTGAATGGAAAATTCTCGAAATAAATAGCACAGAAATATGCTTTTTCCTCAAATTGTGAAGTAATCATCTGTGTAAACTGTGAGACTGTACGGATGCAGAAGTAAAAGGATCATTAACGTTGTCTTCTAAATATAAGACAGATTTAAAACACAAAGGCACAATTCTCCAAGAATACACGTGGAGATTATATCAAAACGAAACGGTGTTTACACGGAAAAAAAATTTGCTTATTCCTTTAGAAAAAAAAATATGCCGCGAATGTTAAAAGAAAATGCAAATAAATAATCATATCATAAAAACAGTTCAAATATAACAAGAAGATCTTACACGTTGCAGACGCAAACGTGTAAGATAATCGATATTTTCGACTTCTTTTTAAAACCCTGAGAACGTAAAAAAAAAAAAATAATAATAATAATAATAATAATTTCTACGATAAATAGAATATCAACCTGAGAAAATGAATAAATTTGCATAACACAGTTTCACGAATAAAAATAGAATAGAGAATTGCGTGAAACACAATTGCATTTTAAACGTGTGTATCGCAGTTAATATTGCAGTCGGGGAAATGTTTCATCGATCCCATTTACATCGATTAGATATTCTTTCATTCGATCGACTATCAACAATTTTTGTCGTGATTCAAAGTAAAATAATTTCATAAAATAATAACATTAAATCAACGATATGATTTCTATAATTTCTATTCGTCTATTTGTTACACTAGTGCCTCGTATAATTAGGATTAATTAAAGGTAACGATGTTTATATAAATAGACAATTCGTGTCACATGACGAAATGTCAATCCAGTATTACTGTTATTAAAACTTAATATCTTAACTATACGCAGAGATGACAAATCGATCGGTAAATTAATCAATTTGTTTCGATCAATATTGTCGATGTTACATCGTATTATATTCTTTCACCAATTTGTACACTGTATTTCCGTATTTTATAACAGAGAATTATCCGGAATTTTCTTTTTTTTTTTACTTTTTTTTTTTTTTTTAATATCGAACTTATGTGCGTTCTTCACAAATTTATAAAACTTTATGATAAATTACGTTGTTAAGTTTTCGCATATAAATTATCATTTCCTCCAAATGAAACGATTACTAAAGAAAGGAAGATTTGTAAATTACTTGCATCCACGTACGTTCTCGTATACATCATCCTTGACAGTTGTTTGAAATAACATTTTTGAAAAGAATATAACTTAGATAAATTTTTTCGATCTTACATGACGTATCTATCATCACTAACTCTATCGCATGTTATTGGAGGAAATTTCATCGTAGATTTCTAATGAAAGGATCATTTGTCTTATACATAATGTAATAACACGATAGATACAACGGAATAATGAAGAAACGTGTTAAATTATCAAACGTGAAAAAATTCTTCGAGCAAGATTAAACGAAAAAATTAAAATTTATTTCTACTAATAACCAGATGTAATATCGCGTTTTGTTTATACGTCGTTGATACAATTTAGCGAACGAGATACCGTGATATTATTACATATAACATCTGTATCGAAATATAAATTTTTACACAATGTTTTATGATATAGTTAACAGTGTAATAATAAATTTTATTACATCTGTTACGTTAGTTTTAAATATAAACGAAAGCTATTTTTAAATAAATAAAAAACTTAATTTTTAAATAAACGACTCGACCTCCTTTCTTTTACTCATTTAGTTCTCTGCATTTGATAAAATGTGCAATTTCACGTAATTTCGCAATTTCATAGTCGGATACGTTTCAGATCAATAAATCTTTTAATTGCCAATTTCCCTGCCATTTGTCCTAATAACTAATTTATTTCTTGCTTTTTTTTTTTTTTTGAACGACAAATCGACGAATGTATTTTTTTGCAAAAAAAAAAAAAAAAAAGAAAGAAAGAAAGAAGAAAAAAGTATATACAAAGTGTACAATGTAAAATCTTGGCACGTTCTTGGCACCAATTTGATTTTCCTTCAAATGGTATTGGTGTTCGCAATTCCAATCACAAATCGAACTTTCTCCATTTGAACCGGACATACCGGATCCGATACGATTTACAGTGGACAGCGCATTGTCAAGAAATTACAATGAATATCGTTCTCGCGCTACAATCGAAAATTCCATTTTGTATTACGAAAACGAAGCGATATTTCGATTATTGCGCGTATTGTGTAACAGGAACTCGACATTAAGAAAAGATGATATTGCGATATTGACTATTT